CTCAGATGTCGGACGAGGCGGAGCCTGCCCTCGGACGTCGGGCGAAGCGGGGCCTACCCTCAGCCGTCAGGCGAGGCGGAGCTTGCCTTTGGACGTCGGGTGAGGCGGAGTTAGCCCTCAGTTATCGAGCGAAACGGAGTCTAGCCCTCGGGGGTCAGGCGAGGCGGAACCAATCTCCCGTCGTCCAGGCAAGAAGTATAGTAGCGTTCTTGTCTGACCGGAAGCGTCAACGTTCGATGGTTATTAGTTCTACCTCATTAGGTACCCCGGTATTAGGTCCCCGACAACATTGGTCACTTACTATTTAGCCATTATTCAGCCTAAATGGGTAAAATGGTTATTTAATAAACAGGGTAAATAGATGACTAAATGAAAATGGCATACTACTGTGTTACGTATAAACGTTGTGTAAATGGGCTAAATGGCCCTTTAGTCAAATAGTGCCCCAAACTGTCCACAATAACTACATCTTTTTCCCATAGAGACATTTTGGTACAATATTTTTGTCTTGCATTGGACATTCCTAGTTCCTACTGAACTTTTATTTATAGGCGATGTTTCAAAAATATTTTAAATGGTTCACTAGTTTTAACCATTTGTTTTGCACTTATTGTGACATGCATGGGACCATACCGCCGAGTCATAGGTCCGGTAGATAAATGAGAACATTGATCATGAAGTTTTTTACCAATTCGTTCTGTCCCTTTTGGGCTAGTGATTCAAAATTCTATTGGATACTGTTTGTAAAGATGCTTCTTCAGTATGGTCAAATTGTCTCAGTGTTCTTGTTGCAATATAAATACCCTATTTTGATTGGCTGAACTCACTGCCTTTTCCAAATGTGAAGGTGTGAATCACTTAGCCAATTAATTTAATCTTGTATGCTTATGTTTTTATCAGCAAAATCCATCTATATATACTCGGCAAAAATATCTGATAATTAGGTGTTCCGGCCAAGGGTTCTGGGATTCAGTTCGAAATGATCAAATTTTGGCTACAATTCAGTCAAATATTAACTAAATTTGAACATTTTTATTGGTCAAAATAAGTGAATCCTAGTCAAAAACAACCTAAATTTCTGAGATTCACCTATGTCGGTTAGGTCCGAATTTTGTCATTTTTATCCCAAAACCCTGATTCTTGCAAGTAAACATGCGCTGCAGCAAGCAATTACAGAATACTTAGAAAAATTGCATTAACAATTTAACATACATCATCATAAGTAAACAAGTTTGGTCTATGCAATCCTCAATAAGATTAAACTAGGGAGAACAAAAATATAAGACAATATGACACCTGCACAACTCAATGGAAGGTAGGACCCTGTGGTCATCAGTCATTTTTATCCGTGTGAATCTCCTGCAGGATCACAACAAGCGCAGAAATGAACACGTAGTCGACATTTGGAAATACGGTGAGACTGAAATAGTCTGTTCCCAACAACATGCTTGTGGCGCTATGCTCACGGTGCATCTGCTGAACAAAATGTACACTTGTTGTCAAATTTTTTTCTCATGCTGCATAAAGGATGACCAGAAGAAGAACTGACTTTTTGTACTCACTTTAGCAATCAAGGTGTTGGAGTTACCAAGATAGAAAGCGCATGCTCTCTCTTTGAAGCTACCCTTCATCATGAAATCGCAGACCTCATGCGAAGTGTTGGAAGCCAAGTAGATATACATCTCTGTTTTGAACGGTTGGAGGATTGAAGATTTCTTGGCAGTGAAGAGCAAATCGCTTGATTTCGTGCTGTCCCCTCTATTCGCTTCCCATGTGTTGTGCATGCTAATTACCTCCCAATGTACCATTGTTTAGTGATGCTGAATAATTGGTATTACCTGTCAATTGTAATCTTTACCGTGTTTAATGTAGTGGAACAGATGAAATATAGACCTCTGGTGACAAAATTCAGAGCTTGAAATGCATTAGTTTAGACATGCATGCATGGGCGATGCCTGCCTGATCTGTTTGATTCACTTACCTTCTCCCGCAAGGAGAGGAGGGAGGGATTGCAATGGCGTCGAGGAGGAGGCGACGGTTGTGGATGCTGATCAAGGCGCCCTTGACCGTGACCACCACGGCGCCGTTGGTGTCGGTGATGGCGAAGTCACCCTCCCGGAGGCTCCGCTTCGCTGCACCACGTAGGGCGCGCAGAAATATAATGCGGGGCCACCACCGCCACCGGGGCCACGACGCCTCCGCTGGGCTCCGGCGGTGGGGTCGCTGGCAGGGGTGGAGGTGCTGCCATCAAGGATCCTCTCGCTGCTGCAGATTGATTCGATCCGGAGCTTCCCGTGACCGTTGTCTAGTTACATTTACCAATGGAAAAGCTGAGGGGCCGCTCCGACCTCTGCCAAGTGCCAACACACAAGGGAATACAGGGTGCTTGTATTGGCGCATTGCCACCCACCGCAAAATGAGCTAACCCGAAGAAAACAACGCTACTCTATTCTAAGCACAGACCCACAAAAATTCACTCTCAGCTTCAGAAAAGATTTATCGACAAGAATTGATTTTTGGTGGGTTTATTGAGATTTACAAACAGGACTCTGGAAGAGGCAAATACTATGCATAAAGACATGCAGGCCGACATCCCCTCTCCTTATGGGACAAATTATTGTGCAGCTTTAATACTTCAGATCGAGTTATCAGTTTACCACTTCCTCATGATTATAGTTAGCTTAACACGATGTGTAATGTGCATTGTGCTTGACTTGTACTTTCACTGCCTTGAAATATTAAAACATTCAATCTTTTCCCATAAATATAAGCATTCCTGAAAGTGAGCGTGCGTTACTGTACATGTCTTTAATTTATCTTTGGACCCTGCAAGAAAGGTGGAATTTGTTTATTGCACAAATCTACGATTTTTTATGGCATCAATTAGTACGTACCAAATGCATCTACCAATTGATAAAAAAAACATGAGAGATTAATCTGTCAATAAAATTCCAACAAGTGCTTATATTTCGGGATGAAGGGAACATCTCTATGCCTTTCATACCTTGACTCTTTTTAGATGATGGAATAAAACATGTCACAACCTCTGTGTATACAAGAATACTTTGTGATGTTACCTACAATAAATTACACTTCCAGCAAAACATAGACAAATAGTTTTCTAAGAAAGATAGTGCAATAAATGATCACCTCCTTTATTTAGCTCCTAATTCGGTTGCTATAAACCTCCGTCGTCCATGGCTTGCAAAGATGTCTATGTGGTAGTTGTTTCCAAAGTGTGGCACATCTGATGCAAAAGATCCTAGTTCTTCTCCTTCTGCAAAAGTACCCAAAATCTTGTCTATTATGTACCTCCGAATAACATCTACATACAAGATTCTCTTTCATGAATATCAAACACAAATCATTTTAGCTTAGACGCTTCATCCAACATATATAGAGCACTAACCCACCAATATTTGATACTTGATTTTTCAACTCACTCCATATAGCCAAGAACGAAATAAGTATGGAATATTACTTGGGGGTCTAAACCAAATGTAATAAAAATAGTTCTGAAAGGAACTTAACATGATGGAAAAAGAAACAAAAGACGTTGAATTAGTTCATCTTCATTAAAAAAACAACATTTCTTACTTCCTTGCATTTCCATATTTATAATCAAGTTACCTTTAGTAAGAATAACCCTCTTATGTAAAATCACTTTTAATTTCCATTGATAGAAAACATGGTGTGAACACATCATAATCAATTAGACACTCATACATATAAAGGTGACCGCATCACGCTCTCGCGAATGGAGTTGGCCAAGCCGAAGAGAAAGAAACCTTACTTTTGTTTCCTAGGATGTAGGCTGCACTATGCTTTAAGCACCGTGTGGTCCAGGCTCTAGCGTGGCCCAAGCAAACAAACAAGCTCAGTTGCAGTTCTGGGCCTGTCCCTGGCCACGATCCAGGCAAACAAACACTCCAAAATGTTTTACTAGGGTTCAAAGTAAACCTAGGGACTCATAATTCTAGAAAGATCTTTCAAAGGTTCGAGATGGTTTTTAGTGATGTGGGAGCTCACAAGCATCTCGAAATACATTGGTTCAAAATGAGTTTTCGAAGACCTTTAATTGGTAACAAATTGATTGGCTTGCATTATCTAGTAGCTAGAATAGCCAATATTCAACTTTCTAGTTAATTAGAGGGATGTTTTCAACTTGGACCTACATAATTATTTTCAATTTTCAGTAAGGTCAATGTACCAGTTTCTAATAAATCAGGACACCCCTTTTACCATTGGCAATCAGGACACCCTGTAACGAACTTGTTTTTGAAAAAAAATATAATACCTTTTTGTAGGATACTTTCAAGGGAACATATTGCATTGGGTGCACTTTTAGGCGTTGTTGCAACATAACGACACTAGGAACATGGTTTAGAAGGCGTCCAAAATGTTTAATCTTGTCGCTCTTGGTATATATCTTTGTGAAAATGGATAGAAAAGTGTAATAATAGACTTCGCTTATAGTTTTCAGTTTAATGTGTGTTGTTTTCCTTTATTTTTTTTATAGACACACATTGAGCTGAAAACTCTGAAGAATTAGCAATACACTGTTGCTAAGGCCAGTTTTTTTTTTCTTTATCGAAAAGTTTCGATTCTTGTGATAAACGCACCAAGGACTGATTTACTGAAACTGCATATCCATCTAGAGGGAAGCTAACCACGAAATAGTGCTCAATCGAAAAGAAAACTCCATGTGACTCATTCTGGTAGGTAGTTTATTCAACTATTCTAATAAATCTTAAATGAAACAAGCATGCGCTGCAGAAAGCAATTACAGAATAATAGTGCTCAATCGAAAAGCAAATATACAGTATTGTTACATCATAAAGCTTAGCTTAAAGCATAAACCAAGGAAGTTCAGTCGCTGATCTTGCAATAGTAGATTAATTTGAGATTAAACCCGCCCTCAACCAGAACTGCTAGTGACAGAGAGGCAGGCGTCCAAACTTGAAGCTTATTATTGGGATATATAATCACTGTGGTCACTATTAGTAGTTACGATCCCTGCTGTGAACCTCATCCAGAACCACAACGAGAGCCGCGACGAAGACATGGTCAACGTGAGGGAACACGGTGACGTTGAACGTGTCCTTTCCCAGCAGCACATTGGAGACAGTGTACTTACGGCTTATCTGCAGCACGAATGCAAATTAACGGCTAAATATTTGCAGACATGCACCAAATTAAACATGCATGCATGGTTACAGACAACAGTTAGAAACCAGATTAGTTTTGTACTCACTTGAGCAATCATGACGTCAGAGTTGCCAAGGTAGAAGACGCAGTTTCTGTCGAAGTAGCTACCCTTCATCCTGAAATCGCAGGCCTGCTGGGCGGTGTTCCCGGCCAAGAACACATCCAGCTCTGTCCTCAGTTGCATCAGCGTGAATCTCTTCACGGTGAAGAGCAAATCGCTTGCGTTCGTGCTGTCCCCTCTGAACACTTCCCATCTGTTGTGCATACTAAACACCTGAAAAATAATATTGCATATGCGCTGTAGTTATTAGCTAGGTCACGTTGAATAATCAGCAAGTTTTGACTTTTGACCACAAAATCAAACATAAAGCACAGAGAATAGATCATTATTTTTGCTCTGGTTTCTTGGATGTTTGGTACTAGCAACGATCCATCCCTTTCTGAATCAAATCATTCGCCAAAAAGAAAAACGAAACAAAGAAAGAACTGCCCTTGACTTTCAGCACGACCGCGTGGCGAGTTTACCTTCTCGTGCATGGAGAGGACGGGCTGTCCGGCGGCGTCGAGGAGCACGCGACGCTTGCGGACGGTGAAAAAACTGCCCTTGACTTGCAGCACGACGGCGCCGTTGGCGTCGGTGACGGTGAAGTCGCCGCCGCTGAGGCTCGCCACCTTCTTGGTCACCGTCAGAGGCACCACGTCCGGCGAGCAGAACTGGGGTGACACTACCACCACCGGTGCCGGCACCGGCGCCGAGAGACGTTGGTACGGGCCCGCCATCGACCGGGGTTCACCGCTAGCACGCCGCCTTTGCCGCGCGGTGGTGCTGAGAGGTCGCTTGCTCGACGTTGTACTTGATCGGATCGGAGGTACACCTTGCTTGCAGCTTCCGTTTGCTCTTTCTCGCTCGTTCGAGTGGACTATATAACAGACTGACAGTTGACAAGAGAACGTGGAGGTCGACGCGTCCAGGGTGCGGACCGTGGACTGTGGAAAGATCTTTTGTGGTGTGGGGCTCTCAAAACTCAAATAATTTAGGTGCAGAACAGGTCAATACATATGCAATAATCACAGCCTATCATGGATGATCTGTTCTGACTCATTCTAAATCTATATATAACAAAAGATAACCCTGCCTACTAGTATTCTTCTACTGTAAGGGACCAATCAAAATTACGCTTAGTCTACCTAGAAAATTGTCCCCCACAGAGATGGCATTCCTTCATCCATACTAGATTGTACACCTAGAAAAACACTCACATGACAAACCAACAATCCAGATCTAATCGGAGTAGGGTTCACCATGATCCTAGGGCCACGGACGATTTGAGGCTTCAACGCGCTTCAAACACATCCACCGCTCTCCGTGGTACCGCTCCTCCACGACTCCGTCCCTGCCCCGCGCTCGCGGTTCGACTCCCACCTTGCACATTTGTTTTTCCTTTTTTTCGAAGAAAACAAAAGCCGCTGCAGCCACCATCCAAGCATCCTCAGTCCTCCCCACTAACCCTAGACCCCATCCCCCTCGCCTCCCACCCGCCACGGAGCCGGCGCCGCCCCACACAAGCGGTCGGTCCTACTCCTCGACCACCGTCCGTACCCCGCCTCCCCATGATTTGCGTCGGACCCGTCAAATCCCATCGCGGCCGCACCACGCGCCGCCCGCTGCCGCTGATGAGGAGGAGGATGACCACGTCTTCCTCGTGCCCTCAGGTTAGTAGACGCGCCCGTAACCCTGGCCACATACCGTGATGCCAACCACAAGTCAAGATGGACGTCCTGTCGCCATTTTCGAGTACTACGCACAAACCACCTGCATTTTCCTATGGCCCTGCATTTGTTCATGTGATATGCCATTGGCTAATGATTAAAAAATCATTCCTTTTCTCCGATCTATGGTGACGTTCACTTGGAAATTCTGAACTTTAGATGGGACATCAGTTCATGCCGGCTATTGAATTGCATTCTTTTTGGATGTGGCAGCAAGATCCCGTGGATCAGGGACGAAGTCAGAAAAAAGTTTAGGAGGGGCTGAAAAAAAGAATAGAGACTTTTTTATCTTCTCTTAACCTTACACCACTGCAGACGCCCTCTTTGCCGAGTGCTGTGGGCACTCGGCAAAGCCAGCCAAGCACTCGGCAAAGGCTTTGCCGAGTGCCGCACTCGGCAAAGGTCTCTCGGCAAAGATTTTATCGGCAAAAATTTCTTTGCCGAGTGCCCGACACTCGGCAAAGTTGGAACCAAAAAAATAGGAATTTTTACCCCAAAAAAATGGAAAATTTGTTTTAATTGGTGGAGGCCCCCACCGGTCAGCGCCCATCCATCTCCGCCTTTTTTCGCGTAAATTTCACGGCTACACGGCCGACGGGATTCGAACCCGAGACATCCCGCTGCGCACAAACCTCCTCTACCACTACACCACACTGTCACTTGTGCCTGGATTCCGTTTTAGTTCCTAATATATTATACTAAACCGAGTGTAAATTGTTTGTTTGAGGCCCTAAACGAATTCAAATAAAAAAGTTGTGAACTACAAAGTTTCATAACTTTTCGAGATCTACACTTTTAGTTTAGTAAGTTTTTCCATTCGAGGTCGTTTACAAAATTTGAATTTTAAAATTTGGAAATTCAAACGCAGTTTTGCATGACAAGATGTTTTCAAATCAAAAAGTTTCCAACTACAATGTTTCATAACTTTTCGAGATCTACAGAGTTTATTTTGGTTGTTTTTCCATCCGAGGTCGTTTATAAAATTTGGATTTTAAAATTTTGAAATTCAAACGCAGTTCTGCATGACAAGATGTTTTCAAATCAAAAAGTTGCCAACTACAATGTTTCATAACTTTTGGAGATCTACAATTTTTATTTAGGAAGTTTTTCCATCCGAGGTCTTTTGAAAAATTCAAATTTTAAAATTTTTAAATTCAAACGTCGTTTTTGCATGACAAAATGATTTCAAATCAAAATGTTGCCAACTACAAAATTTCATAACTTCTCAAGATCTACAAAGTTTATTTTGGTCATTTGTTCATCCGACATAGTGGTAGTTACATTGTTCACAAATCATATATATATCTCTCTTCTACTTTCATGAAACTAATATGAGAGATATATATTTTATGAACAGCGTTATTGTCGCTTTGTCAAATGAAGAAATGACCAAAATAAACTTTGTAGATCTTAAAAAGTTATACAACTTTGTAGTTGAAAAGTTTTTCATTTGAATTCATTTAGGGCCTCAAAAATTGATTCAAAAAACTGATTTGCCGAGGGCTAAAAAAATGCACACGGCAAAATGCCTCTTTGCCGAGTGCAAAAACATAGGCACTCGGCAAAATACGACTTTGCCGAGTGGCAGAAAAAAGGCACTCGGCAAACTTAAAGTAAATTGCTTGTTTGAGGCCCTAAATGAATTCAAATCAAAAAGTGGTCAACTACAAAGTTTCATAACTTTTTGAGATCTACAATTTTCATTTAGTAAGTTTTTTCATCCGAGGTCGTTTGAAAAATTTGAATTTTAAATTTGAGTGATTCAAACGTAGTTTTGCATGATAAGATGATTTCAAATCAAAAAGTTGTCAACTACATAGTTTCATAACTTTTGGAGATCTACAATTTTCATTTAGAAAGTTTTTCCATCCGAGGTCATTTGAAAAATTCAAATTTTAAAATTTTCAAATTCAAACGTCATTTTTGCAGGACAAGATGATTTCAAATCAAAATGTTGCCAACTACAAAATTTCATAACTTATCAAGATCTACAAAGTTTATTTTGGTCATTTGTTCATCCGACATAGTGGTAGTAACATTATTCACAAATCTTATATATCTGTCTTCTACTATCATGAAACTAATATGAGAGATGTAGATTTTATGAACAACGTTATTGTCGCTTTGTCAAATGAAGAAATGACCAAAATAAACTTTGTAGATCTTGAGAAGTTATACAACTTTGTAGTTGAAAAGTTTTTCATTTGAATTCATTTAGGGCCTCAAAAATTGCTTCGAAAAACTGATTTGCCGAGGGCCAAAAAAAATGCACACGGCAAAAAGCTTGTTTGCCGAGTGCCAAAAGAAAGACACTCGGCAAAATACATCTTTGCCGAGTGCCAGAAAAAAACACTCGGCAAAGACGTATTTTGCCATGTGTTTTTGTTTGCCGAGTGTATTTTATTTGACACTCGGCAAACACGGTCTTTGCCGAGTGCCCGATAAAATACACTCGGCAAAGCCTCCGGCACTCGGCAAATCGCCGGTTTCCGGTAGTGTAGCCCCTCCTACCTAATACATATATGCATAAAATTTTAAGAAAGGGCTTAGGGGGGCTCTACGTGCGCAGGATCGGTAGGGGGGGGGGGCTAGAGCCCCCCAGCCCCACCGCTGGCTCCGTCGCTGCCGTGGATGATTCTGGATGGTTAGGTGCTGGAAGTTGATTGGCGTCAGGTGGGGGTCTCTGGCTGCTCAATATAAATCTCTTTTTATGTCCAATCTATGAGACAAAGTTCCTGGATGTGAGGAAATTTTAGACAAACTAACAGAAGTGGTGGCCTAAATGAGGATAATTTAGCTCTTGTTTTGCTATTTTGCTTTTGTTTCCACGCCCACCTTTAGCTGCAATGTGACACTGCAGGCAGCGGCGCTGTGCAGGTATCAAGTGTTCCTGTGTGGTGTCAATGTTCTGACTAACAGGGAAGAAGAAGCAAGCAAGCTTGAGGCTTCAAGTACGGTCTAAAAATAATTTTTCCTCATTTCCTATAATTAGCTCTTGTGTTGATGGATTGATGCCGACTAAGATTAAGGTATTTAATGAAGTAATGACAAATTATCAATAGTCAAGAACTCCATGTTACTTGTCTATTCTGGTTTTGCACTTTGCTATTGCTAGACAATAAAATCTACAAGTGCTTTAGTTATGGCTGCTCCTTCTGTATAGTGGCAGCAGGCAGGATTGCCCCCTACTGGGATTTATCACTAGAGCAGGACTGGGTTGCAATCCCGGTTAGAAACCCCTTTAGTCCCGTTGTCCAATCGAGATTGCGAATCCGGGACTAAAGCACTCCCCCTTTAATCCCGGTTCTAGGAACCGGGACTGAAAGTTGACATTTAGTCCCGGTTGCTATTACCAACCAGGACTAAATTGGCCCCCCGACATTGCACCGGGGCTGACACGTTTAGTCCCGGTTAGTGTTTCCAACCGGTACCAAAGGTTCCTTTATTTTTTCTATTTTATTCCTTTTCATTTTATGATTTCTTTTCAATTCAATTCTTTTTTGTTTCAATTAGCTTTTCGTATACGAATTCTAAGATGCTAATATACATCCATATTTACGTACATATAAGGTTCCGTTAGAGCATTATACATAAATAAGACACTAGAATGTATGAAACTATATATATACAAATATGCATGCATGAAATATGTACATATATAATAAAGTCACAAATGTACATGTGTCCTTGGGATTTCTTGCAACCCTAATCTTCCTCCTTTGTTTGGCTACTAGGTATGAATTCTTTAGGGTCATAGTATTACGTGCCCTTGGATCTATGACATGCTCCAAAAGAAATCCTGAAAATGCCTCTTGAATTGCTTTGATCTGGTCACATCGCAGGACCTTTCGCTTCCTCTGTTCAATCTTCAATTTGAATGAAAGCAAAAGTATGAATATATATATATATATATATATATATATATATATGCTTATATATATCAACACAATGGTAATAAATAAATTATGTATATTTTTTATGTACTTCAAGGATCTCTTCACTCGTTCTCC